AGATACCAGTGAGCAGTATTCAGAGTAGATCCTCGTGTGATAGGGAGTGTGCATGCATGATGAGTGAGGGTAGACCAGGACTTTAGACATAGAGGAATATAGAGAAGAAGGCAGACGAGAGAGGGGGAAGTGTGAGCTACGGTGACACTTACCTGTTGAGCGCTGTTGTTGACATTTGGCAGCTGGCGCTGATGAGCGCCAGGCTTGGAACTCATGTTGATCGAAGAAGACTTGTAACTCTGTTCAGCTCTATACACTTTGAACTCACGAAGTTCTCTCTCTAAATCTGGTTTGATAATTGAGTTGAGCTTCCTGGTTCTCGTTCATCTTCTATTGGGTTTTGTGTGAGACTTCGCAATCTGTGGAAATCAGTGCGTATGCATGTGATCTGATGCACTCCAGCAAGTGATGAACAGTCGGGTTCCTTGCAAAAAAATGAAGTGTACTGTAAACACCTCCATCGTACGTGAACAGAGAACATAGGCGAGGGAAAAACGTTTTTTTTTTTTTTTTCGAGTATAAAACAAAACAAAACAGATTCTTATGTGCCTGTCTCCTTGTCCATTCTGAGGAGCATCAGTCTGTTTTGTTTCCCCCCCCCCCCCCAAACAGGAAGTTAGAAGCAGCGCCAATCTATTTGTGTGTGGGGGGGGGAAAGCATCAGTCCGGTTCCTATTCCCCCGAAAATCGTCTTTTTTGAAACTGTATGTATGACCAAAAAAATTGTACATTCATTATAGTTGGGGTTCGTTATGTCCAGGGGAGGACGGTAGACCCTCATAATGAATGTATTCAAGCTATCTTTCGGGTCAGGTACAGGCAAAATGAGGGGCGGGAACATAGCAACCGTGTGCGTCATGTTCAGGGGAGGACGGTAGCTATGGACGCCGTACACTGTGTGTGTGTGTGTGTGTGTGTGTGTGTGTGTGGGTCTGTGTGTCTGTGTGTGTGTCAATTTGCGTGTCTGGCTCTGTGTGTGTGTGTGTGTGTGTGTGTGTGTGTGTGTGTGTGTGTGGGTCTGTGTGTCTGTGTGTGTCAATTTGCGTGTCTGGCTGTGTGTGTGCGTGTGTGTGTGTGGGTTTGTCCGTTCGTCCGTCAGTCCATCCATCCATCCGTCGGTCGTGGGTGGGTGGGCAGCTGCCTGTCTTGCTTGTCCACGAGCTCGTTTAGTATGTCATCTGTGCTGATCCTTTGGGTAGCCAACATCTTTTATTTGTCCTCCCCCTCCTCTCTCTACGCCCCTGTTTCAGAAAAGAAAAGGGACGAGAATTGGGCAGTTTTAGCGGTGTGCCATTCATCCATGTGGAAGCTTCTGATTTAGCTAATTGAACTAAAGGATTATCTGGCGTCATCTGTGCTATTTCAGGATCACTTTGCTTTCTCTCTTCTCTCAGAGAGTCACTGCTGGATAAGCATTACCAGCTGTCAGATCTGTGAGACATGGGAATGGAGGGGTGCTGCATCAGGGGTACAGTTGAGGGGATGTTGCAATAAACCTGCAGATGTTGTTCAGGGGTCGCCGGTTTCAAGACGCTTGCGGTGAAAGACAGCCAACGGAAATGCAGGCCGGCTTGTCATCCAAAATCAGAGAAAAGGCGATATCAGCACGTTAGGCGTTGTGTTCGTGTGTGTGCAAAGTGCATCAACCTTCTTTTTGAGTGATCCCACCAACTGTGTGTGCTGGCATGAGGGGACTGTACTAGGACGAAAGTGGGGAAGAGAGACTTTCATCAGGATGCCACCATCTGTCCTTGCTGGTGTTTGGAGACTATAGAGGGTATAGCAGAAGAGGCTTTACGTGTAGGTGGCTCCTGTCGATCGTAATACGTAGACTTGTTATTGGTAGGTAGATGGCGAACGCAATGGTAAATGCGTTGACAGTCAACACAGTGCCCTGTCTGAGGCACTTGGCAGCACCGTGCTCACTACCCAGGGGTTCTGCTGCCGGTTGTGTGCCCCTCGGCTATCCTGTGAACGCTTTACCAGCCCTTGGGCCGCCTGAGCCTCTAGCCATGGCCACGACAGTTTCACTTTGCTCCTGCTTTGCGACTCCTGCAATTGTCGGCAGCAACCTTGCTAAGCATAACAGAGCCGACCGGCTGACGCCTCCCCAAGCTTCCTTCAAGCAGAACCTGGTTCTCGAAACGACTAAGGACTGCTCCTCTGCGAACGCAAACGACCTGAACTACGAGCGCATTCTTTCTGCAGACCAGTGCGCCGATCGCGCCGAAGCGGGTTGTGTGTCGTCGAAGGATGTGCGGCTTGTGCCGTTAATGACGCTTGCTGATGCTAGCGTGCAATCGGATGGGCAGCAGCCAGCCCAGGATGCAGCGGAGACGGGAGAGGGTGGGGGTAATATCAGATCAGCTTTGTCGAGAGCTAACCTGGAAGCAACATGGGAGAACCTCGTAGAGACCACTGAAGTGGCCATGGATAAGGTGCCGGGACCGCGCGTAGGACCAACTCCGATACCCTGGCTCGTCGCCGTTCCTGTGACATATGCTGCTGTCAGCCTTGTCATTGCCATTGTCAAACTTTATCGAAAGGCGAATACACCGAGGGCGAAGAGAAAGAAACAGGTGTCGAAGAACCAGACCCTCAACGACGCTTTGAACGCCTTTTTCCCGGACAATCGCACGGGTTTCACCGAGGCAGAGTTTCTGAAGGTTCAGCGGATGACAGGATTCACCGCCGAAGAAGTTCTGCGGAAGCATATCCGATACACGCTGAACGAGCGGCCGTTTAATCCCGATCTCGTGGCCGATTTGCTACACCTGAGGAAAGTTTCTGGTCTGTCCGACGAGGCTGTGGCAGAGATTCTCAATGATGTGTCACGTCGGGTTGTGGCCTCGATGGGCGTGGTGATGATGAATACACAGGGAATGACGGAGAGAGGCATCAAGCGCAAGGCGGCCGTGCAGTCGCTGTTTGCCAAGATTCTATATTTGTCAGAGCTTGAGGAGTTTTGCGCTTCAAGCGTGAGAGATAAGTTGCAGACGAAAGTTATTTTTGGAGTGACGGATGAGGACTCGGACCTGATACGCATCGACACACTCTCCGAGCTGTCGGATATGGACGCCCTGGAAATGATGGTCAGCCCTCCGTCAGCATCAGATGTCGACGAGAAGCAGGAAAGATGACGACTTCGTGCGCTTCAAGCGTGAGAGATAAGTTGCAGAAGAAAGTTATTTTTGGAGTGACCGATGACGACTCAGACCTGATACGCATTGACACACTCACTGAGCTGTCGGATATGGACGCCGTGGAAATGATGGTCAGCCCTCCGTCAACATCAGACGTCAGCGAGAAGCAATGAAAATGACGACTTCGCGAGTGCGGACCCGCCTTTCTTGACGTCACTTGTTCACCCCAATGATTGCAAGGGAATGCCAGATGGAGTAACCGTTCGTCACATGCTTCTTCCTCCGTACAAATTTAGAGTGAGAAAGACAGACAAACGCGTAGATAAACGCGCCCAAGCGCAGTTTACTTCAATCAATCGAGTTACAGTATCGCAGTGTAGGTGCCAAGTGGTTTGGTGGTCAAACGCTATGGAAACCTCCCCCTTTGCAACGGCGGCGGAGAATAATGAGTTCTGCAGTGGTAGGAGTTTTGTCAAAGATGAATGGTAGAGGGGGGGGGGGAGGTTCTCGCAGAGGAAGCAATAAAGGGCCAGAAAGCCAGTGGGCAGTTATGCCCTGAAAGAGATCCCTCCTCCTCATTCTCCTCCTGCTCCTCTTCGTCCTCTTCCTGCTAGTCCTTTTCTTGCTGCTCCTCTTCCTCCTCATCCTTGTGATACTCCGCTTCCTCCTCTTTTTCATCCTTGTCCTTCTGCTCCTCCTCTTTTTCATCCTTGTCCTTCTGCTCCTCCTCTTCCTCCTCTTTTTCATCCTTGTCCTTCCGCTTCTCTTCTTCCTCCTCATCCTTGTGCTACTCCTTTTCCTCCTCTTTTTCATTCTTGTCCTTCCGCTCCTCCTCTTCCTCCTCATCCTTGTACTGCTCCTCTTCCTCCTCTTTTTCATCCTTGTCCTTCTGCTGCTCCTCTTCCTCCTCATGCTTGTGCTACTCTCCTCTCTCCTCTCTCCTCTCTCCTCTCTCCTCTCTGCTCTCTCCTCTCTCTCCTCTCTCCTCTCTCCTCCTCCTCTTGCTGCTGCTGCCGCTGCTATGGTTGCTTCCTGCTGACTCTGGTTGCTCGGTTGTTCTCTTCCTTTGTGCTGTTGCTGCTGTTCCTCCCCCCCCCCCCCCCCCCCCTCCTCCTCCTCCTCCTGGCCCTCCTGATCCTCCTGCTCCCTGTCGTTGTCTTCCTCAATTTGCTGTTTGCTGTTTGAAATTCTGAATTGGTATTTGGATTTGTAGCTTGATCTGCTTGCAGATCCAGGTGGTCCCCACTGTGGTGGTGGCTTTTGAAGTTCCTCGTCTTTTATTGAACTGCAGAGAAATAAAATGGATTTTTATTTTTTTAGAGATGCATGATCATGCCATCTTGTGATATCATGTGTGCTGTTAGATTTGCTTCAAGTTCAATAAAAAGTGAATATGATGATTTCATTGGTTTGACCACAGCTTCACTGAACTTGCTGAGATTCAATGGTCTTTATCAGCTTTGATGAACTTCAATCTGATGCAACGCACTTGGATCATCTTCGATGAACTTGTTAATCAGCCTTGGCGAACTCAAATCTGATCTGATTCAATGCACTTGATCAGCTTCATTGGACTTTGACCAGTTTCAGTGAACTTTATCGGCTTCAATGAGCTTTGATCAGCTCCAATGAACTTAACTGATTGCCCTTCGGGACATCCGTTAAAGTTGGAATGATACAGAGAAGGGTAATTAGCATGGCCCCTGCGCTTTCAAGGATGACACACATAAATCAAGAAATGGTCCAAAAAAAAAACGAAATAGAAAAATCTGATCTGATTTAATGAACTCGACCAGCTTCAACGAACTTTGCAATTATCAATGAACTTTATCAGCTTCAATAAACTTCAATCTTATT